TTTTTTTTTTATGTTATATGTGAGCAATTGGAATAGGGGTGCGGTATCAACACAAACTTACTGCCTTTTGTATCAACAAATTTTTATTTTTATTTTTTTTTATTTTTTATTTTTAATAAAAAGGGCAAAAATGTAAATTGGGGTGCGGTATTTAGCAAAAAGGGTGCGGTATTTAGCAACACCCATAAAAAAAAGTGATGATATAATAATATTATTATTATATTGTAGGTAGTTGACTGATTGACTCTAGAATTGAAAAAAAATGTAGATGATACTCTAGAATTGAAAAAAAAATGTAGATGTTTTGCTTAGGGACTCAACATAAAAATGAAACATAGTGGAGGGATTTAAGACCAAAAATCCACAATAAAATCGAGAAAATAACTTATAGGAGCACCAAAATTACACAAATAATATTTTATTGAACAAAATATGAAAATGGGATTACTAGAAATACGGAAATATAAACATGTTTGTTTATGAAAATTTTTGGTTTTGTTTGGATTTTTCGGTTTGATTTGGTTAATTTTGAAAAATGTGGTATGGTTAGATGTTAGTGGGTATATTAAAATAATATTTAAAATAAAATAATTAAAATTGTTTTGATGTAAAAGTAGGAGAGAGAAATTTGAAGTGATGGTTAGTTAAAATAATGTGAGTGGATGAATAGTGAATTAAGGTTGATGTAGTGTGTATGAATGATTGATTGATATTATTTATTTATATTGATAATATTGATGATAGTGGAATTGAGTTAAAGTTGAGTTAAAAAAAAAATGATAGAATTAAAATGTTGAATTTTTTTTGAAAATTCTTGTAAACAAACATGCTCTAATGGCCTCAACGTAATATGATTAAGAAAAGGTAGAATTTGGTCTATTTATCAAATTAAAAAAAAAAAGTTAATGTGTTAACCATTAAATAGAGTGGCTACTGTGATTCTTCCAGAACAGAAAAGATGGGAAGCAATGAAGCGGCGTGGTAATCAAGGTGAAATAGTGACAAGAGCAATTTACTTGATTTTTTCTTTTTCATCTCTCATCATAGCGTCTTGGGCTTAGAATTTTGGGGCAGGCTCGGTGCAGAAAAAGTGAAGAGCAAATTACTTGAATCGTGAGGCCTACACACTGTTAAAGAAGGTCGTTTTGCCATCGTTTTCGCAGAGGGGCTGAGATTCATTGGTAGTTACCTTACAATTTTATCGCTTTTGCTCTGTTTTCCTTTTTCATGGCGATGATTCTGCTTGTGGCTACTCACTCTCAACTCTAAACACACAAAAGAGTACGCCTTTGTTTACTGTCTCTTCATGAATTAGCATCCCTTTTTAAAGTGGTAATTT